ATCCGCCGTCGTCTTCTGGTGGAACCGACGTTCGAATCTCTTCACCCAACACTTTCACTCGAAATGGAAGCAAGCTCAACAATTCCCCTCTAGTCTGAGTTGCCATGTACTATCATCAATGCCAGGGCAGATGCTTTGACTATGCGGCTCTGCAGCAGAAAATGTAAGAGTGAAACCTAGCCATGCCCAGGAAAAAGGAGTCGTCCGGAACCTTCTAACTGCCTGCTAGACTCAGGGCTTGATTGTCCTTGCGCATAGTTACTGTGCGAATCAAAGTAGGGATATGATATTAATAGTTGGTAGGCCCATGTAGCAATTGGCGCCACCATAGTTTATGAGACAGGGTTGGGAAATCTTTGGCAGCTGAAAGCTACTGGAAAAATGATGATGATTATCAGTTCAAATCACACAGTCAACGCTTAACGGCAAATAAAGGTAGCAATGGCATAAAGCCTGGACTTATATCATACATATCTTAAATGGAGGCAGGTATAACGGACACAATACGATGCTTGTGTGTGCACGTGTGTGCTTTAAAGTGATTGTCGATATTTATATTAGTATCATCATCATCTATGCGTATCAAGACAAGTTAGTAGAAAAAAGCTCCAGCCCTTTTTAATCGCAATCTCATTGCTGTAGGAACACTTCAAAACCTATTGATAATCAGGGATGTGAAAGAATGATTGATATATCTTCAAGTGGTATAAAGCTGCGCAGGAAAGAGCAAAGATTTAATATTGTCACAATACGCTCGCCTGATATAGTCGTAAATAAATAAACTTAAGTTAAATCGCATTTTAGGAAAAATATATCATTAAGACTATGTATGTAAGTAATTTCTACCTCTGAATATCGTGGTATGTGGATCAAATAAAATGTCGAGAGGATAAAGAATGCAGATGAAGCTTCATTGATGGTTAATATTGCTTAAATAAAAGAAATATACTATAAAATGTTTAGGTATAGTTTTGATATAGGAATAAAGCCTAAGCAAAAAATCCTGTTGATTACAGAAAGTATTAATCCTCGACTTTGCGTGAAGCCAAAAGGTTTTACCCATTGCTCTTTTGCAGCTTTTTAACTATATGAAATGTGGATTCAATATAATTTTGACAATTCGTTGAAAAAGACGCTGAGTTTGACTATTAAACCAATATGAAATGTCGCTAATGATGTCGACTTCCTTGTCTGACATTAAGATTAAATATAAGGACCAATAATACAGCTTGTTGAGCTTACTTCCATTTTGAGTGAAAGTGCTTGGTGAAGAGATTCGAAGGCAGATTCTACCAGAAGACGAGGGCGGATTCCTCTTGACCAGCTGTCGCTTGGCTTTACTGGAACATTCATGGTGACGCTGTTTCCGAACTAATCTCCTTCAATTCCGATTAAAAGGTGCTAAGCTTTCGTTCGTCATATGACGAGCATCACCAGAGCAAGATATCATCGCCACAACAAAATTCAAGCTAACGAGTCAAGAAAACCCACCAGTAAATCTCTAAAAAGCGATATCTATACTCTACATCTGGCCTCTGATCAGGACGAAAGCTTAGCATCTTTTCACTGGAATCGAAGAAGATTACCTCAGAAACAGTGTCAACATGAGTCTTCCAGTAAAGCCAATCGACAGCTGGTCAAGAGGAATCCACTGTCGTCATCTGGTGTAACCCAACTTCGAATCTCTTCACCCAACACTTCCACTCAAAATGGAAGTAAACTCAACAATTATGAAACAAGAGATTCCTCGAAA